TGACCTTGTTACCCACACAGGCGGGATTCAGTATTCTTGCCTTCTAATAATGTGACCAACTTGAAAAATGTAAATTGTATTCCTATGTGCAAACCGACATGGCATTTGCTTTTTTTTTTTTTAGAAAATAACCATCACTTAAACCAATTCTACAAACATTCCCAAACCTAGTCATCATAGCAGAAAGTAGCTTTTATGTATGTCTTTGACTTCTTTTGGATTCCTACATTTGTCAACTTTTAATTTTCACACTGGGCTCATCTTTACATTTTGATGAAAAGGGTGAGTGTGTTAGGAAGGAAGCAGGACAACTGCATGGTGCAGGTATGTTCCTGAGTAGCAAATGAACACGGTCTTCACCTTGGACACACCAGGCACTTAAAATATCCCCACTGGAACAGACCAGTTTGATGGTAATACGCCTGCTTCCCAAATTAAGGGGCTTTCAATCTATTTTGAAGTGAGGGGGGAAAAAAGGATTTGCCAATGGGGATAAAACCCAAACATACCACATATGACTCCCCTACTCTTTAGCCTCTTGATGAGTATGTGCAATTATGGACATTGGTTCTAATGAGAATCTCCCCGTTCTGATAACCACTATCACTGACAGGTTAATGAGCAGGAATATTCCCAGGGTGAGGTGACAGTGGAAAAGCATCTCCTCTAGCCGTCTAAAGGGTGCACCAGCTCCTCTAGAGCCAAGCGCAGTGAGGTGCTGGTCAGAGGAAGGTTCCCTATGGATTGTTTATTATAGAGTATACTTTTTAGAGTAATCGGAGTAGGATTTGCTCACATAGGTTTCTACCAATGCACCATCGCTGATGAAGCCTTGCCAGTGCCTGGGCCCTTCAATGCCAAGCAAGAGGAGCGGACTTCGGCTTCTGAGGCCCCTTGTGTTACATCCTATAGTGTGTCTGTTTTCAGTGATTAGAAGAGAGCAGTCAGCTAACCAGAGAAGTACTGATTCCTCTCCTGCAAGGCACAAGGGAACTGGCTGGTCTAAAAGTTTTTTTAGTGTTTTCAATGACTTCATGACAATGTAACTACTTATGAGTAAGCTGCCTCTTACCTAAGATTTTTTTCAATGGAATCTTACAAAAGTTTGTTTTGCTAAGAGTGCATTAGAGAGTAAATGAGAATTTCACTTTCTAGTCTATTTTTGTCTGTAGCACAGATGTGTATCAGAGACCATTAATTTGACACAAGCAGGCTCCAGAATAAACTATAATGTGTAACTTCCCAGCACTGTGGGGTAGGCCTTATGTGTGTTGGAGGATGTGGTAGTATTAAGCAGTGCTGTCTGCGGGGTGGGGGTTGGGGGGCAGAGGGGGTGGTAAACTTTTTATATAGCACAAAACTTAAAAAAAAAGATGAGCTCTTAATATCATACTGCACCAGTATGTGAAATACATACAAATTTCTGTTTCCATATAACTTAGGGCATGGACAGCAAAATATAAACCCCCTCTAAAAAAGACCAGTTTAAATGAAAATCAATTAAAACAATTAAAAATTAGTCCCATAATAACATGGTAAACAACTCAAATGGCTTTTTTTTTTTTAATGCTAGGAAAAATGTTCACCTTTCAATGGTGAAAGTACTGTTAACACAGGTAGAGAGCAAACAAGGTAAAAAGTGAAAGCACATACAGACACACACAAATATATATAAAAATTGACCAGAAATCACAGGACATTTAAGCAATGTTTTCTTAAGTAGAACTATTTTTTTTTTGTACTTTAAATAGACTAAAATATTTGGTGTGGGCGGGGAGGGAGGTGGGGAAGGAAACCAGTATTTCACAATTTTAACTTGAAAACCAGCTGCAATAAAGCCTCAGCTCATCGTTTAAAAAAAAAACAAAACAGTGGAACCACATGGTACTCTTGACAACCATAGGATTAAAGCTTACAAAGAACACATCTACCATCTACGTCACAGTGCACGGAGGATGCAGTCTCTGAGGACCACAGGCAAACAACAACAGACTCTGCATCCAGCATATTGCATTACAAAATTAATGCTATACTAGAAAAATCTCAGCTCCTGGGGTTGCTGTTCTGGCTGGTAAGCACCTGAAGGGCAGGGGGCTACGGGTACTGAGGCCACTGCTCAGTCTGGATCAGGACATCCAATTCCTTCACCTGCTGTTGGCTGATGCATGCAGTAATCTCAATACGACAATCACTGAGAATGGACACTGCGTTCAGCTTCCTGAGCAGGACAGTCTGGGGAGTGTGGCAGAGGGTAGAGCATCAAAGGCCAGATTCTCCCTCAAGCGAGAAGGAATCCACAATCCCACTTGGTTTTCTCTTACTGCGATGTGAAAAAGGTCAACTTCAGATTAGACTTAACCCCATCAACAAATGATTTGTACTTACATACACACACAGGTTCTCAGGAACTTCACTCTCTTGCCTCTTCTGTGTTTCATTAAGCCCCCGCTTACCTTCCCTGAATTACTAAGGGTTAGTCTCACCATCATGCTGGTGCCTTAGCAGTTGTTAGTTGTGAATCTCACAATTCACCCACAGTAAATAAGTAATTGGAGGACACACATCCAGGTATCAGCAATGTTGACAGCCCTAAGACAGCTGAACGTTAACTGCAACGATCACAACGTTTAAGGGAGTGAGGGTCAATCACAAGAACACCTAGGGTGACCGTTCCTGCTGTGCCCAGGACTTCCCCGGGTCTGGAAGTCAAAGTCCTGTATCCAGGAAATGGCCCAGACCCAAGCACCCTGGGGCCATCGGTCACCCTGAGCACAGCACTCACTCTTCCCTTCGGATCACTAAGAAAATGGTAAAAATTTTCAAGAGCGTAAAGCTACCTACGAGGGCATCAGCTCAAAAAATTTTTTGAGGACACTTGCTAATGGCTAGCTCCTGGGAAGTCCACACATACCTTATTTAACGGTGTCAATTCTAAGAACAGTCAGTGGTACCTAAGCAAATGAGTGATTGGTGTATATAAAAGTTCATTCTTGAAACCGGTTTTCAGACAAATGCTCTAAAGGTTCTCCTGGTTTTGTCCAGTTATATAGTATTTCACTGAATCTTTATGAGATTTTCAGAGCCAAATGAATAATTCAATTTTATATGTCTTTTCATTTTCTTTTTTTAGGTGAAAACACTCATTGCCAACTATTTCCCACATTCTTGCTTCATCTATTGAAAAGATTGCCAACTGGAGATATTCTCCTCAGATTACAAAGGCCCTGAATTGTTACTTATAACAGCCTTCTGCCAGAAGAGATGGCCTTGGGAAGAGACGGCAAGGAGTATTCTCAGATGTGCACATTTTTATTTTGCCTACAATGCTGGGATCTAGTTCAACAACTGAAGAACTGCTTTCATCTTACTCTTTAGTTTTCCTTGTTTTGCCCTCTTGTATAAAAATGGTTAGTGTCACAGCTTCACTATCACTAATAAAAAGATACAAATATTTATGCCTTAAAGGTCAGGGTCCGAAAAGCAAAAAGGAAACCTGAGGTAAAGCTGGTCTAAAAAGTGACCAATTTGGGTTCTGCATTTTGCCAACAAATAGGATTAAAAAAAAAAAAAAAAAAAAACCTAAATCCATGCAGGTTTACCTACTTGCTACGTATGTGATTATTTTCCCCAATTTTAATTAATCTGTATGTATAGTACATAAACCAACAAATGACTACATTCTTAAAGCAGGTACATACATTCACCAGAAAAGCACCCCATCCTTTCTCACTAATGTACGTTTTTTTGTTTGAACAATCCAAAACTGTAAATAAGATGGACAAATGTAGTTCTTAAGGGACTTACTGAAAAAGGTAAAATCTCTTTGGGAGAAGAGACTTTAGTAAGATTTCTATCCCTACAGACAGATGCTGAGAATCAACTTTCTGCTATGGCATTGTAAAGGGTAGAACTTAATATAGAACCAGAAATATGGCAAGTTATCTAGTGACTAAGTGTAAAATAGCCAAAAGCTTTAAAGCCACAGAAAGAAAGAAGAAAAGTGGAGTGTGAAATGGGAAGTACATAATGAAGTATTTTTAGAATTCTAAAACTTCACTTTCGTCTTTTTATCAATATATTATGGATTTCCTGGCACAATAAATCACCATCTTTAAGTAGAAATAGGAAGTAAATCCCTAATCGCCCCCTACCCACCCAAAAGAGCAAAGTGAAAATTCTGAAGAAGACTAAGAGCTTTTTTCTTCTTTCTGGAGGGTAGGAGAGAACATCATCTTCCAGGAATTGTTTTGAAGAAAAATCTAAAAGTCCTTTGTGTGGTATTCATGAATCCTCATTCCCATCAGCAGCAGCATTTTTCTTCCAAGGGCCCTTACATCACAACCAGTGGCTGAAATTTGGGATCTGTTATGGATCTCATGGCAGCAAACCAATCAACACTGAAGTTAACTAAGTAAGGCTAACACACTCTGGACAGATCCTCTATGAACGGGAGATGACCCAAAGAACTTGGGAAAATCCATTTCTGTTGAGCACAGCTAAAAAAATTAGGTCTCAGCCACCTTAGGCTGCCCATGACTACAGGAGAACTTGACTCAGTGGTGCTACTTGCCACAGTATCTTAAGCAGCTTAGCAATCTTTAAAGCAAGAGGGAAAGAAGGGGGTGGGGGGACAATCTAACAACAACAAAAAGTTAACCCTCAACTAGTACCTTTCAGAGACCACTGGATATATAATAATTTAATGAATGAGTGTCTACTGCAGCTCTTTTTGATGTTAATAAATTCCAGTTATCATTCTTAATTATCAAGCTGCCTTAAAAATGGCATACTAACTGAACCACCAAATCACAACTCTGGAAGAATAAATAAATAACTCTGAAGATCTGAAAGGAAAATGTCCACAAGCAAATTAGGGAACTTTTACTGAGGTTAGAGATTTTAAACAACAGAATCATTCAACGGTGTTAAAACGTAAGCAGATAAATGACCCCTACACTGTGTTCAGGTTTTTCTAGGAGTGCGTAGGTATACACAATGCATACACACACTTTATATAATTTATTTCCTACTAAAAAGATTTAAGGCAGTTATGCTATATATAAAGTTACCTATAATATCCAAGATAAAACAGTTCTTCTCAAGAAATTATATGAACACATTAGACAAGTTCTTATCACAAAGCTTATTATGAGGCTGTCTATATCTAGTATAGCTGACATTTCCTGGTTGAGGCTCCAAACACAGGAATTCCACTCCAAGAGATGATCTGCCCCTCAATCTCCATACATAAAAGGTAATCTGAACAGATAGAATATTCATGAAAACTTGAAAAGGAAGAAATAAAAGGAACTCATTAGTAGGATTCTGACTACCTCTGACTACTCACTACCATCGTTATCCTTGCCTGTACTAAATACAACAATCCAATATGCTCCAAGGTGGAAATGGGCTAGTATTACAGGAAACCATTGGCTGCAACTGCTGGAAAAGTTCCCAATCCTAAACATAATTTAAAATAGAATCTGTAATTCATGCTATTTGCTAGTCACAAAGACATTTAACTGAAGAGCCATTTTTAAGATTTAGGTGACTGACCAATGGGAACAAAATCAACCTTCATGGTGAAGAAATTAGGACCCTGGATATGAAAAGCACCATCTTTTTCATCTTTAGTAGAGTTCAATGGAGAGAAAACATTCTGATGTCTGCAGATAAAACATGGCTGGCACGGAAGAGGGCAACCAGCAAGACCACAAGGGATACATTCTGTGATGAGGAGAGGAAAAATACAATTCAGTTGATAAATATTAAGAATTTAGCAGAGAAACGCTCATGAAGCAAAGAAACTGGGCAGTAATTTGTCATGTCTGAACATCAATGAGTTGGATCAGAGTAAGAGAAAAGATCCTGTGCTGCTTATGTCCACAGACTATCTAGTTATCAATGGTGTGGAAGGAGGCAGTCTATGAAATCATCATGTGCAGCTACAAAAGAAAATGAACACAAAGACAAATTTTAAATAAGGTGAACATTCTCTTACTCTATAACTCACCATCAACCAGACCAGGAGAATAGTGAGTACTGAATAAATGCTCCAAGTGTAGAAAGAAAGGGAGAAGAGAAGAGAGAGAAGAGAAGAGAAGAGAAGAGAAGAGAAGAGAAGAGAAGAGAAGAGAAGAGAAGAGAAGAGAAGAGAAGAGAAGAGAAGAGAAGAGAAGAGAAACAACAAAACACAAAAAGATCTTAAGGGTGTATTTGGACAGCTTTTGGAAGAGGTAGAGAAACCATCTGAGCACATATATAGTCTTTTACTTGATTTCAATTAGCGAGAGACCAGACTGATTGTTTTTCACCTTCAAAGTCTTGGTCTTGATTGAAACCGACCTAAAAGGCACAAATAAACTGGAATTAAAATAATTTTGACAAAGGAGAAAATATGACAAGTGTAAAGGCAGATGAATCAAGCAAAACTGATACAGTTTAAGATTAAAAAAAAAACCCTAGATATTAAACAATTCGCAATTATGTACTTGGAATACAGACTAGGAGTACTGAATAAGAATATTTAGCTTTCAAGAAAAATTAGGGAAGATTCCTTCTGGCAAAGTGGCAGGTCCTGAGTGAGGAATAACCCCACAGCTTGAGGGCCAGACTAAATCCTAGCCATCTCTTCATTACTCAGCACCTACCACCGTGGCCGGATAAAGGGATACATCAATAAATGTTTACTGAGTGAATGGATGACAAATATAATCAGGAAGTTTCTCTGAAATAGAAGGAAAGAACACAAGCAGGTTGTTCCAAAGGGGGGCTGAAGTCCACTCATATGTTCTAATCCTAAACAGTACTTACACAGACTTTTCAAACTTTTTTTTTTCTAAAAAAGCAGTAAAACTCTTTAAAAAAAAAAAAGAAAGAAAAGAAAAGAAAGAAGGAAATCTCTAACTCCATTACAGGGTAAAAACGAAGCTGCCACTAGTTAAACCAAAGTCAATGGGAACATGGGAACACCACCAGCCTCCCGATTCCCCACGGCATTTATAGATTTGACTGTGCAGACCACATCCAGCTTAGAAATGGGACTGAAACATGTTCATCAGTTCTCATGTGAAACAAAGAAAGTGACCACTGTGGGAGGGGAATTCTAAATAATGTTGCTAATTTAAATAGAAGCAAAATTCAACATCAAAGAGAACTCATCATTTAGAAGAATGAAAACCCCAATAAAGAGGGGGGGAAATCAACAAAATGTAGGCCACAGTAGACAGGACAGAATGTAAGAAATAGCATCTCCAAAAAAACATGTAAGATCGTTAAACACCAGGGCAACTGCTCGACAGGTCTAAGTGCTCAGTACAACAGGTATTTCCAAAGAGTTGAGTCCCAGTTCAATACTGTAGGGAAGAACCTCAACACAGTTGTGGAGATGTAATCACTACTGGAATGCTGTCGTTGGCACTGCTTCACCTACCACCTCAATCCAAGAGTGAGTGACTGCCAGGCCCTTCTGCCACTTTCAAAGTTGTTTTCTGCACCCACAACCGTTCCCAGCATCACCACCAGTTCTCACGGAAGTTCAAGCCTTCCAAAGGGCAGAGGCTGCTGGTCTGACAGTCATACCTAGGACATATGAACCGACAAAGTAAGGCCACCCTCAACTATTAGAAATTATAGAACGCTTTTGGTCCTCGAGTTTGGATCTCTGTAGAGACTTCGGGGTAAGCATTAATACCTAATAATGAGTTTCTTTCACAATGAGCCTTAGCATTTGGTGACTTTCTCCATGCCAGGAACACCAATCTCCTGGGGCTCTCCCCGTGGCTTGCTCCCTTCTCACATCAGATGTCCACTCAAGCATCGCTTCCTTAGAGAAGTCTTTCTTGCTGTGCTCTACCATAAGCTCTACCTGCTTATCTCCCTCATAGACAAATGAACTAAGGGTTACAACAGTAACTGAAGTCTTGGCCAGGGCCGGGACTGGATCTGTCTTGTTCACTTTTACCCAACGTCAAGAAAGTTCCTGGTGCACATAACAGGTGAACAGTAAATATTTGCTGAAAGAATTAAAAATGACTACCAAGTCTGCATGAACACTAACATGTACTCACAAATATAGGAAAACAGGGCAGTATCTAGTAGAAAACATTCAAATGCTGTGAATATTGAAAATGATACCTGTAGAGACAGCTGAACATGGTTTCAAAAAGTAAGTACCAAAAGTCTCTATCTCCAAAAACCTGAAAATTTACTAGAAGGGGGTTGGGAGTGGCTATCCCCATTTCTAAAGAGATGCAAACAAGAAGCATTTAAACTGCAGAGTCAACATCAAACAAGGATTATCTGCCACCAAATGGACTACCAATAGAGCTTCTGGAATCTTCTCTCACCACAGAGCATAAAATGTCATTGGTTATAATAGTCAACCACACATTCAGGATTAGTTAAGAACAGCTCAGACTGTAGGTAATTAGAAGCTAAAAAACTTGCTAAACTGCTTCTCCCCAGTTTTTAAAATTCTGAATTCATAATTAGGTAAAATAACATAGATTTTTTATAAATTTAATACAACATACTTTAAAAACAGATGACCCTTATCTGCTGATCATACCTCAGCATCACTCTTGTAGGTATTTTGCAGACGCAATTACAATTACAAAAGGTCCATTTCATAATACAATCTGGTAATTAAATCAAAAGAAACTCAGCACTAGGTCTGCTATTGAAATATTTTAAAATAGCTTTTAAAAAAGAGTGTTTATATCTATAGATTGGCTTTAAAAAAAGGATAAATATACTGAAGCAATTGTAGCATATCCCTGAAAATAATTATACTGCCATTTGTGTTTTTATGAGGTGTAAGGATAAATCAACAGACTGCTTGGTTATACAAGTCTATTACTATCCATTGAAATCTGTTAAGACAAAGGGACTTACTCCATAGGAACTTGCACTGTGCCCCAGAATTAACTGGTGCTGGCAGTATCAGTACCACCATTACTAGTGATGGATATCATGCTACACAGTTTTGGTATCAGGGCAAAAGTGGAAGGAGAAGAGGTCTGGAAAGATTTTCTGCAAAGTTTCCATACAGTGAGATGTAGCAGTAAATAACACAAGATGAATGTTTATAAGACCCACTGAACACATTAAGGTCAAGGATTTCAAAAGTTAATCCACTTTTCTTCCCCCAAGGGTTTATTTTTGGTAAAAGGCAAAAAAATTAGTTTTTCTACAAGGGAACTCTGCTTCTAAATGATAATTTGAAAATCTTGATATATATTATATATTAAAAAAGACACACAAAAATAACGGAGAGGTGGGAATAACAGATTAGGTACTGTAACTTTATAAAGGCTTGCCTAAATCAAGAAGCAGCACACAAACACACACCTAATTTATGCAAACTAAAAATGTATATAAACAGCACAATACTGTGATACTGGATCATGATACATTACCTGTACACATAACTACTACTGTTATTAATAGACCTTTGGGACATTCAGTTTTATGCCCACCAAGACATCAGTGAAGTCTTTAAAATCTTCTCTTTCTCCTGTATGGGAGGGTATTTCTAGACACTAATTTTCCCATCTAATATTTGAATATAGGAAACCGATTCCACAAGGTGCTTCAATTGATGAGACCTCAAGTGCTGTTTTTCTCTCTTGAATTTTTGGACAGTAACCAGTCCATGGGGACCACACACAAATACTATGACAGAAGAGTTGTTACATTAAGTCTTTTGATGGGATCTGAGTGGTGACGAAGCTTTATGACATGCTTGAGCAACGCACTGAAGGGGATCCCATCTGAGTTAATACTTTGTCCAACCACTGTAGAGGTCCATTCAGATGAAGTTCAATCCAGCAAGGAGTGCTCGTTACCGTCTGCCTTCTATTGAAAAGAATACAAGAAAATAATTATGAAATTAAAAGAACAATATGGCGATGTTCAGCAACATGCATTAAGAATTTAGTTAAATTAAAAGGCTGTATATACTAAAGCCTACATCCTTTAGGACAAGTATTAAGTCTGAAAAGCTATTACTCTGAAAATTATTTAATCCTCCAAGTCTAACAAAATACTTCTAGTGACTTTTTTTTTTTTTGCTTTTAAAGAAATTAACAAAAACATTCATTTCTCTTCAAATTAAAATTAGGAGGGTGACCTGACTACTTACCAACCAAAACGAGACACCTTTCAGAGTGAATAGTCACTATTAATAATCAGGTCAGGAACAAGGGACTCAAACCAGGACTGTCCCAAGCAAACCAGAAAACACAGTCGCCCTACTGATTAATCAATCGCAGAGCAGAGGATCCTCAAATACCAAGTCAAGTCTAAACAGAACAGGGTTCAAATTTCAAGTGTACCAAAACAAAACAGAATTCTGACCGAAGCTTATCACAGAATGTTCAGAGCTAGAGGTCGGCCTTCCCTGACAAGGCCAATGAAACAACATCTCTGTTAGAAACATGGTGCAAGCTTTTAATAGAAACACCTCCAGCATTTCGACATAATGGGACTCTGGGAACTACAAACTGTTTAGTGACGTCCCGTCACTTGCTCACATACTGATCTGAGTTCTGTCTTATTTATTATCTACAGTAAGTCAGCGAGTCTGCTTGCTGCTTCACTGTGACCTCCCTACAAACACAAGAAAAGGCCATTATCAAACCTTCAGCTCCAAGTGACACATGCTCACTATAACTTAAAACTGCATCTCAAAGGTTGTCGTTTTCTATAGCAGACAGTGTCAGTGCCACACTGTACCCCCTGGAGTTTTCAGCATTCTCTTGCCGACTAACAATCGCGTATCTCTGAATTCCTGTGCCTAACAACTTCTCTGCTCAGGCCACATGTGCAGCAGACCACAAATGCTAGGAAATTACCTCCCCAGGAGCAGCCCGTACCCAATGACATGGGAACTGGCATTTAAACACCGGTTTCCTTTCCTTCTGGGTGGGATAATTCTGTACGTTCATTACAGTTTCCCATGTTTTCCTAAGGGAATAAGCTCTAGTGACCCACCCAACACAGCAGCAGGCTTAATAATGGTTTTGGCTGCCTTCCCTCCCCTACCTCACTTCTCTATTTCCTCCTTCCTTACCAGTGCGTCCTCCATTTCCTGAACCAACTCCTAGCATTTGAATCCATGTCTCGGGTCTGAGACATACACTAAGATGTTGATATGGGATCATTCCTAAAACATGACATGTGGAGCAGAATAGAACAGTCTCAAATCTGACCTGTATAAACCCATGGTCGTATTTTGATTCAGACAGTACATTTTGGCTTATGCAGTTTAGCATTGCACTGGCACGCTTTACAAGTTAGCTCATGTAATCCAGGAGGCAGAGGCCAGACTGACCCTTCTCCATCTGCCACCCTCTGTTCTTCCTGTTGTTTCTCAAAGAAGTTTCTCTTGCCTTCTAGCTCTCCCTCAGATCAGGCCTTCTGCAGGCTTTTGCCAAGATCTCTGAATTTTGATTCTGTCATTTGCTGAACTCTGTATACTTCTCAGTTTGTTTTCGGTCAGATCATTTCAGTCAGAAGGTTCATCAGATGAACCTTCGGGAATCATTCCTAATCCAGTCACTGAATGGGGAGTAGGTTTCAGAATACTGTCAGTGGTCTTGTTTGGGCACAGAAATGCACCCAAAACATTATTTATCCCCTATTTATTCACTTCAGTAACAATTCACTTAACTCAGACATATTTCTTCAATTAAATATATAAACTCTTTGCACATCTATATTGCTTACTACATTTCCTGATTTTTATGCTGGCAAATATGCTGGTAATAAAGAAACTGAAAAACAGTTTGAGAAATCTAGCCCTGAGATCTACCCCCACAACTCCAGCATCATTAAGGATAAAAGGTTCCTGGTAACCACCAACAGTTCACAGAGAGCAGGTACCTGACATTATTCTGATCTATAGATGTTAAAGGAAACTAGTTTATTACCCAAAGTAGATCTGACTATATACCAATAAAAACATACTGTATGTTACCACTTCTCATCATTACAGTTTTTAAATTCTCCCCAGGTTTAAGAATGGCAGAGTGCACAGTGCACCCAGGGCAGCACCTCTCTTCCACCAAGTAAAACTGCCCTTGGCAGGAGAGCTATAAACACGCGTGGAAGTCTCCCCGCTCTCGGCAGTTCATGTTTAATAGCACTAAATTTCTACTATCATGTTCTGTAATATTCTCATCTTTTGAAGAAAAAAAACCCTGTGACCTAAAAGCCTGGTATCAGATGGTGCCACCTCAATCTAATTTTTAATATCAACTCAGGCCAATTCAAGTCCAAAGCAAAAAGGAGCTCTGTGCTCTTTTAAGGCATCACACCTTAAAAGGGACATGATTAAATGAATTTTTCTACAATTATAACCTGGCCAAAATAAAGACAAGTCTTTATTCTAGGATACAAATATACGAAATAGTATTGATTTTTATAAAAATATTCACCCAGCAGACCTCAGGTTTCACCATCTCAAGAGACACACACCTCCCCAAATTTGTTGAAGGTAGAGAATCAAGTCCAAATGAAATGAAACACATTCTGAAGAAGAGGCTCAAACTGCCAGGTAAGAAACAGGAATATGATGACTACTGTACATGAATACCTTTGCATGCGAGTGCTCACAGTGAGCAAAACTAGCTGGAGGAGGACTAAGTACTTAACTCATGGTTCCAGCCTTAAATATGCTAAGGGAGTCTTCTGTTCCTCTCATGTGGAATCCAGTCCATGCTTTAATTTGGTAATAACCTAACTTGCTTTATCCTCCGCTGACAACCTAACTTCTGTAGAACTCAGTTTTGTAATGCTACTACCACCCTTGGAGAGGGCATTAAGAGGCAAGGAAAGCTCTCCTCAAGTCCATCTCCATGGACTCCTCTCCACCATGTAGAGAGTGCCCCTGGGCAAATTCTCAAATCTTTTCTACGCCTATTTCCAACTAAGTATTAGTCTGAACTACTTTTTGCAACCGTATAAAAAAGAGACAACAGAAATAGAGATTCTTAGCCAGGCTGCAATGTGTGATGTCCTGCACTGAAAACACGGCACAGCACCTGACACCTGCCAAGTATGCCCTTCTATTACTGAATGAAGTTCTACCTCTTAACCTTACATTCCACTGGTCTCTAATGATCTGTCCAGATATATTCTTACTTTCTGTACTCCAGCTGAACTGAACTGCATGCTAGTGTCAGCAACATAGTTTCACAACCCCTCATACCAACCTGAAATCCTAGGCATCTTTCACAACCTAGATCATGTGCCATCTCTACTGGAAGCCTTCCCTGAGCCCCCGGGAAAATGTCTCTCCTTCTACAAACTGACATTAGCCTTCAAATATACCTCTTTTATGGTATTTAATACTCTGCACTACATTACAGTGCATGTCTGAACAGGGTTTAATTCTGTCCTCTACAATGCCAGCACAGGCATTTGCAGGGGTTTCAAAGGCAGAGACCTCCAAGTTCCTCATGTTACTTTGCATATGCTCTTCTGACTCCATAAGCTTAGGAATACATGGGAACTCCACGAGAACCAAAGGATAGAAGAAAAAAGAATTACATTGTGGAAATTGAAGAACTGAATATGTATTTCATACCGGTATTCTGCTCCCCATCCTTTCACAAAACTCATTCTTATGGTGCACATTCTAGTTAGCTGATACACGGCTTCAAAACCCTGATTAACAGACTGAGCCAGGAGAGCAGCAAATTCCTGATTGTTGAAGATCTTCAGATTACAGCCTAGGATTGAAAAAAGTAAAAACTGTGTAAAAAAAGAGTATCATTATAAGACAAGAATTTTTAAAGGGCTACTGGTCTTAAAATACAAGTATGCAAATCATCTCCTGATTCCTAAAATTAACAGCAACCAGAAAAACTCGGCACATTGAGGGTTTATTAACACTGGTGGATCCATACCTGGTGGAATTTTACACACTGTCGCAGGGTGCCAGCCGTATCTCTGGTTACAGTTGGGGCTCTGCACAAAGATTGCACTATCACTTAGGCACTCAGCAAAAACCTCTCCACCTATGTAATATAAGCGTACTCCTCTTCCTAAAACAAAATACATATGGGATCAGTTTTATAACATTTCCTGTTTCAGCATCGCTTTGGAAGAGTCTCTCTTGGACGAGTCTTAAAGTGATAGAAGGTATTTTGATAACCTTTTCCACAGTAATGGTTTTCTGAAGTCTAACTTTGAAATATACCACTCTATATCGTTCTAAGTATTTTTTAACAATGACTTTATGGATTTCAAAAAATAATAAGTGCTTGCCCAAAGTATTGAGAAAATGCAGAAAAACACATGGCTAGTAAAACAAATAATTTCATACAAATTATATATTCTAAAATAAGTAAAAGAAATTATGTTTGAAGGAATTAAAACTCTTTGGATAAACATGCATTCACTGTAATAAACTGTATTTCATTAACAATCCCACCAACATTAAGAAAAAAGCAAATATAAATCAAGAGGTTAGAGTCATTTGCCCTTTTTAAAATTACGTTATAAAATAAATAAATAAAATAAAAAATAAAATTACATGTTAAGGTGATGACCAAATCCCTAAATAGATAAGCAGAATTAGGTGAGAAAAAATTATGCTGGGAGATTTTAATAGACTTCTTTCAGAATCTAACAAATCAAACACACACAAAATTAATTAGAGACATAAGAATTTTAAAAAGCCAACTGTGAAAGGCAGAGATCGGAGACAGCACCTAAGATTCTCACCCTTGGTGTATATGCATCTCTGTTATTCAGTCAAGCATGAATCTGCTGTTAATAAGTTTTTCAGATGTAATTAAGGTCTCAAATCAGCTGACCTCAAGAAAAGGAGATTCTCTTTTGGTGGGCCTTACTTAATCAGGTGATGTATCTTAGAACAGAGTGGATTGTCCCTGGTAAAAGTGGATTCAAAATGTGAGAGGGAGGGTTCAACAGCAGAGATTCTCTGCGGCTTGTGGCAAGGAATGCCAATGGCCTCTAGCTACTCAGAGAAGCTTTCAATGGACAGTGCAGGAAATGAGGACCTTGGGGCTACAACTTCAGAGAAGCAGACTCTGCAACAATCATGTGAGCTTGGAGAGGACTTAAAGTTCCAGACAAGAACACAGCTCAGTCAACACCATGGTCTCCCCTCATGAGACCCAGAGGAGATTTCTAACCCATGCCTAGACTCCTGACCTGCAGTAACTGTGACATCACAAATTTTTGTTGTTTCAGGCTGGTAGGTGTGTATTAACGTGTTATCCAGCACAAGAAAACTAACAGAGTCACCTACAGGCCAGATTTAATACATCAACACAGAACCTGACACCCTGATCTCATGACCCTAGAATACTGTAAGACCATCAAATATGTACCTGACCATCAGGAAAAGATTAAATCCAGAAAGTAGAGATTTTCCAGGCTCTAACTGAAACCACCCAATAAGTTAGAAATCAAAGGAAAAAGATGATCCAATAATTACAGCAATTTAAAATTGTGCAGAGAAGTACATATGGTAGAGGAAATACTCCATTAAACCTGCATGTAGCACCCCAATTTAAACACAGGCAAAAAGAGAAGTATTTTAGTTAAGGGTCTGGTGGGTATTCAGAAGCCTTCCTGACCCACAAGACACCTAAGATTATCCAAACTTTACACATCAAGCAAGACTTGAGAAATTCCACCCCGAGCAAGTCACAGCATTGTGCAGAATTGCACTCACTCTTTAGTGACCAGTTTTACTTCTCACGAGAAGTGATGGTTTAATTCATCAGAAACAGAAGCAAACTATTGTTACAAAGGGTTACTTTAAGGTAATGAGAACTATGTCCAATTATATTAGTGGCACTCAAACTTTTTTTTACCCCACTGCCAACAAAAATACAGGAGACCCCAAAGAGTTGTTGTTTGTGTGGATTACATCTTTGGAAACTTACCACATTTGATAGATACTAAAACTGAGATTAAAAAAATGCATTAATTCATTAAAAATCTAAATAATAGACCTATTACATATTAACATAAATAACAAGGTTATGAAAAATAACTATTTCCCTCCCCCCCCCAAAATTAGTGGGAACAGCAATGCTTCACATTTTATAACTTTCTCTAATGTCTGGCTTTAACAGAAGAGAGTTGGATTCTTGTCAGACTCTACATGTAGTTGCTTGTAAAATCACATGCCTTGTAGCTTCTGGAATATTTCACTGTACATTCATGAGTGAACCAGAGTGAAAAAGGAAAACGGGATTTTAGTAACATTATGAAAATCGTTTGACCTCACAAAATTGCTAAAAGGGTATTGAGACTACGATGTCTAGAGATCCTCTGAATTATTTTTTGAGCTATGTGCTAAATAGCCGTTCTTGTTTAAAATCTCTTGCTTCAGATTAATGGTGAGTAGATTTAACTATTTAATATATGAACTCATTGAAAGGGGAAAAACTAGGATATGCCAACAAACTGAAAAAAAGTCATGATTTGTTAAAATTATAATTCTGAAATCTGAACATGATAATCTTATGACTGGTAGAGACTCAGCAAAGTAATTTTAACACATTTACTGAAGGACTTCCCAGTATCAAGGGTGCCAAATAAAGAGAAGCTGAAGATCCTGCAGATCTATTAAAGCAGCGAAGCCATGCACTTCACCTGCCAAAGATGAGGCAGAGGACACTGCACACCCTCTCTTGATGTGGTAAACCACACAGCGCTCACGTTATGAGTATATATGACACTGGTTCTTCACAAAGGGAAAAACACATACCTATATGTCTTCTTGTCATTTCTACAGTCGCATTTCGGTTGACGTTGGAGAGCAACCCTAGGCAGAACCTCTCTGAGTTGGATGGATCTGTGAAACCGTCTACAGTGAGTGAGGGCTGTGATGCGTGGAAGGTCTCGCCAACCCTCTGGTTTAATTCATAATATGCTATTGAACACCAAAATGCAGGTTCTGAGTAAGTAACTGGCTGCAAATCTGGGGAAAAAAACCAAACCCATAAAAGCAAGAAATGTTGTGTGAACAGTTCAAGCCAAAAAGAGACTGAATATCATCATATATCTGTACATGTTCTATGCCAGCCTACACTGGCTACTGCTCAGGAAGCTGACTTAACATCTACAGCACAAACGCCAGTTTCCATTAGATCATACCAGATTTTCAATGTTTCAAATATCCCCCATCTCATTAAGTCATCTAATCTTCAAGCCATCTTTTTTACTTTATGGTGGGTCATGTTCTACTAGTAGTTTTATCCAAGTTCCTGTTCAAATATAAAACCATGGTAGGCAAAGTCAATCAACTTGCAATATAAAACTAATTTTGGGGTAGGATGGGAGTGGAATAAAGCTAGAGCAAGGATTGAGTCAAAAGCCACAAGAAGCAAAATTCTATATAATAGGATACAAAATACGACATATTTTTGACATTGTCTATTTTAACAGGAGATTTTCCATGAGTTACCCTAGTTACAAAAATAGAAAACCCACGCATACACAAAGAACAGAAAGTAATAAAACACAAAAAGCATGCAAGTGGAGACAGAATATGGAATCAAAAGAATCTACATATTTCATGGGAAAACTAGGACCACATAAATTTAACTTCTATCATTGATTAAAAGACACAAGGGGGGTTGCCTAGGTGGCTTAGTTGGTGAAGAGTCTGCCGCCTTCAGCTCAGGTCATGATCCTGGAGACTTGGGATCAAGCCCTATGATGTCCTGCTCTCTGCAAAATGGGGAGTCTGTTTCTCCCTCTGCCCCTCCCACTGCTTGTATTCTCTCTCTCTCTCTGTGCTCTCAAATAAAATTAAAGACACAAGGAATATCATGAAAAAAATGATAATTTTTTAGAATAAATTCCTAATGTGTAGAAACTGAAGTGACATTCTGAAATACTGAGGTAAAATGAAGTCCAGGAATGGACTATACAATGTGTACACACACACACACACACACACACACACACACACACGACACCCCTCTCCCATACCCCATACATGTGTGTATATGTATGGATATATACCTCTTATAATAATTGTGATTACAAAATATATCCTAAAATAAACATGTCCATATAAATCTAGCCATAATAGGTCATAAAACTTTCCAGAAAGAATGATTTCCATGAATAGAAAGATTAGGTTTTTATGCTCATATATGCCAGTTGAAAACAGTTTTAGTAGTATCAAGACAAATTATCATTTTTAAAAAGCACGAATTTAAACATTTGACTATTCACTGGAATCTGTTTATCATATATGTGAAATATAACCTCAGAGAAGACATGTAACAGAGTAAAACAGTGGGGAGTGGGAGGAGTATTTGCAACTTACCCAAACTATGATTAACCGGGGAAAGAGTAGTAGGAGATAGTTCTGCTGGAGATCCTGAAACAAAAGGATTCAATCTTGTAATAGATGTGCAAGAATTTCCAGAACTTCTGACCAAATAATAAAATTGGGGGGGGGGGGGAGGGGGAGGAGTTACATCTGGTTGTAATTAACTAAAACAAATAATACAGGTAAGTTTACATCCTAAGAATTCTAAATATGCAACTGCTATATGTGAATTTAATTTTGATATATAAAGACTTTGATATATAAAAGGTACAAGAGTATAAACGGTCCTAGCTTCCCCTTCCCAAAGGCTGCCTATGTTGCCAGTTTCTTGTGTATCCTTCCAGAAATATTCGAACCACATAAACAAATATGTTGTTCTGTGCTCCCCACCTTGCTTTTTATATACAAATGTAACAGTTCTAACTTAGCATAATTTTATGTTCCTTACTCTATCAAGAATGTTGATGTGTCCCTATTTCTCTCTCTTCACACATTAGCCACGTAACCTCACATTATGGCGTATTATGATCCTATACTGATGGATACTCAGACTATTTTCAATCTTCTGCTTTATGAACTAAGACTGCAGTGACTAATCTTGTACATTTTACATACTTTCAATCATAGTATTGACCATTTAAAAGAGAAACTGTCAAGTCAAAAAGCTATAAACATCTATGATTTTGAAAGATTTTGCCTAAACTGTCACCTATAGAGGTTGTACCAGTTTACATTCCCTGTGGCAACATATATGTGAGGGGATGCTTATGTTTTATCATTAACAGGTAAAAACATGGTTTTAACAAGCAGAGTTTTAATTCGTTTTTCACTTATAAATGACATGGAGCAAGCAGCTTTATACCTCTTGATATTTTATTTCCTTTCTGTGAATAGTCTTTTTGCTTGTTTCTACAGTGATGCAGGTCACTCTTCTCACCGATTTACAGGAGGCCCTATATGTACTGGAGCTATTAGTCCTTTTATGTTATGGGTTGTAAATATTTGGTCATCTGTCTTACGACTCCTAATTTTGATTAAGCAGAATTTTAAAAATCTTTCATGTGTTTTACCCATCATTTTTGGGGTGTGTCACACTTTGATAAAATGATCATGACAGTTGGATATTCTTGACTTAGTCTTAAACTTAAGGGGATATTTCTAGTATTTACCCATTAAATATGATGTGGATTTGGGGATGAGAGAAAAAATTCCCTATGTAGCATTTTTGCATCAATAATCTCAAACGATGCTGGTCTGTAGACTTACATTGTAAGTGCAATGTTACACCACCCCAAGAAGACAATCTAAAAGCTTTATCTTTTTTATATTCTATAAAAAATGTAAATAGCTCTGTAATAAAATATTTCTTAATAGTTTGGTAGAATTCCTGTGCAAAATTGTTTGCAGTTAGTAATTTTCTAGGGTTTACCCTAAGACATTTCTCTGTTTCTTCAATGAACGTTTATTGTTAAGATAGCTCTATTTTCTAAAGTCAGTTTTGGAGAATTCTATTTTCTTGGAAAATTATCCATTTGTTCCAGTTTTAGGTAAACAGGTCAAACCTAGTCAAGAAAATAAAGAGAGGGGACAGAAATATATAAAAATAAGAAAAAAACCACACAGAGAAAAAACAATTACTCAGAGACTATTCCACTGAATTCCATATAATTTTCAAAACACATTTGTTGCAAATGTTGTTAATTAATGTTGTAATTACAGAATACATTTCGTTTTCTGATCTTTTTTACATGTTTTAAGGAAAGTTATGTAAAAAAAAAAAACATGATAGCAATAGTGTAGATGTAGCATGACAGGTCAGACCCCAGCCTCCCCACACCATGATAACCATGACATAAAATACCAGGTGACACACATGGAATGGCAACCCTCAGATACACAGATGACCCAAAAATACAGAACAGGTGATAATTATTTTTTAGAAGACAGAACAATCTTCCATAATAAAATTAAGTTCTTAAGTTCTTTTTTTGTTCCTCAGTTTGAAAAATCTGTTGGCAAGTCATAACAGATCCAACTAAGAAAGGTCAAAATATATTTAGAACAATGAAATAAAACTCACCATTTCCTGAAGCTGATATAGAATAAACAAAGCTACTGTGAGAAATGGAGGAAACTGCCCAATTATTCACATCTCCTAACTACTGATCCCTCTATTAAATACTTATCACTTAACAGAAATGATCAGTTAGAATTAGATTTAGAAGAATGTTTCATTATAATCATACATAAAATTTTACAAAGTTAAATAAAGCTAACAATTTATTTGAAACTTTTTTGTAGAGAGGCAGGTTAATTGATAATTAAACTATTAGTTACTCATATATTCATGCTACTACTGAAGTCTGAAACTTCTGGTAATAAGAAGTAATAAATATCCTCAGTATTTAGGCAGTGGTTACTAGTAGTACTGGCAGCTAAAACATCTAGAGGAATCCTCGTATATCATAGCATACAAGTTTGCATTTAGTTGGAGGATTCATTTTTCAACGAGGAAGCTTTACATCAAAAGGAATGTGTATTAAATTTTTTATAAGTGCCAAAGTACTTCCCACCTCCCAAAATGTTTAGTCCCACCAACAACTGATGAGCTCCTGTTTCTTCACACTGTGCCACTACCTCTACCTTTTGACATTTGCCTACTCTATTTTTTAATTTTAATTTTTGTTATAGTGCATTCATACACGTTTTGTCTATTTTTCTATTATCTATTATTTCCTGACTTACACGTGGTTTTAAATTTTGAAATCAATTAGACTGGTCATTCCTTTGCAAATATTTCTCTGAGTTTTTATTTCTCTTGATATAGCCTTCAAGGTGACATTAATTTTTTTTTAGTTTTAAAGATGTTTTTATTTTATTTATTTATTCATAAGAGACACACAGGGAGAGGCAGAGACACAGCAGAGTAAAGACACAGCAGAGAAGAGGCAGGCTCCCTGTGGGGAGCCCGATGCAGGACTTGATCCCAGGACCCCGGAACAAGACCTGAGCCAAAGGCAGATGCTCAACCACTGAGCAACCTGGATGCCCCAACATTAATTTTTTAAATGAGACAATACTTTTAGCAGTTTTAGGTCCACAGCAAAAAGTTAGCAGAAAGTACCAAGAAATGCCATATACCCATGTATTTATACATGTACAAGGTCCCCAGCAATGAGTATCTAACACCACAATGTTTCATTTGTTGCTATCAAGAAACTGACGTGGATACATTATTATCATTCAGAGCCCATAGTTTACATCAGAGTTCATTCTTGGTGTTGTACATTCTATGGATTTTGACAAACACATAATAACATATATTCACAATGTAGTATCATACAAAATAGCTTCACTACTTTAAAAATCCCCTGTGCTCTCTTTATTTCTTCCTCCCCTGTGGCCCCTGGAAATCACAGATCTTTTTATTATGTCTATAGTCTCCCCCTTTCCAAAATGTCATACAGTTGGAATCATATAGTACATAGCCTTTACAAAGACTGGCTTCTTTCACTTGCAATATGTATTTAAGGTTCCTCCATGTCTTTTCATGACGTGGTAGCTCATCTCTTTTTAGTGCTGAGTAGTAGTCCATTCTCTGGATGTACTGTTTATCTGTCCAATCACCTGAGTGCTTCCAAGTTTTGGCATTTATGAAAAAGCTGCTATATATACACAACCATTTCATGCTTCTGTGTGTTCATACATTTTCAGCTCTTTTGGGTAAACACTATGGAGTATGACTGTTGGATCATATGGTAAGAGAATGTTTAGTTTTGTAAGAGGTTGCCAATGTGTCTTCCAGAGGAGCTGTACACCAGCAGTGAATGAGAGTTCCTGTCATTCCACATCCTCACAAGCATTAGGCCTTGCCAGTGTTTGGACTGTGGCCATTTTAATAGGTGTGGTGGTAACATTTCAAATCTTATTTATTCAAATTTGTCAATATTTTCTCTGATGGTTTTATATTTTACTTATTTCTTGCTCAGGTTATTTTAAAAACTCCTCATTGTCAAAGACTAAAAATTACAGGGTTTCATTTTTTATATTTAAATATTTGCTCCAAGTGGAATTCATTTAGTATGAGATGAATTACATGTTTAGTATTTAATGTTAGGACTTTTTCAAGGAGTATTAAAATTAGTTTGAATTTCTTGAGCAAAATTAATGGCTAAAAATATATTAATAAGTTTGAGTAAATCAGCCAACCATAGATTAATAGCATGCAAATAAAACCAATAAAAAGAGAATTATTCTTTTGTAAGGTATATACAAAAGGACAGTTACAGGTCTTAAATGTATACCTTTGCTTTCATATTAGAGAAAATCCTGAAGAACTGAAATCATCTACTATTTCGTTTTTTTTTGTTTGTTTTTTTATTTTAATAAATTAATTTTTATTGGTGTTCAATTTACCAACATACAGAATAACACCCAGTGCTCATCCCGTCAAGTGTCCCCCTCAGTGCCCGTCACCCATTCACCCCCACCCCCCGCCCTCCTCCCCTTCCACCACCCCTAGTTCGTTTCCCAGAGTTAGGAGTCTTTATGTTCTGTCTCCCTTTCTGATATTTCCCACACATTTCTTCTCCCTTCCCTTATATTCCCTTTCACTATTATTCATATTCCCCAAATGAATGAGAACATACACTGTTTGTCCTTCTCCGATTGACTTACTTCACTCAGCATAATACCCTCCAGTTCCATCCACATTGAAGCAAATGGTGGGTATTTGTCGTTTCTAATGGCTGAGTAATATTCCATTGTATACATAAACCACATCTTCTTTATCCTATTTCGTTTTTAGACCAAAAAAAAAAAAAAAGCTTTAAAAAGCAAGCTTTAAAAAATCTAATTTACTGAATACAGACCAAGTGCTTTTACAAACCTTTCAGAAAAAACTTGGAATCATGCTGGGGTACTCCTTCAGCTTTGGCCCTACCTAATCACCAAGCAAGTCCTACCTCAGCAATGTATCTTAAAAGCATGCATTTCGGGATCCCTGGGTGGCGCAGCGGTTTGGCGCCTGCCTTTGGCCCAGGGCACGATCTTGGAGACCAGGGATCGAATCCCACGTCGGGCTCCCGGTGCATGGAGCCTGCTTCTCCCTCTGCCTGTGTCTCTGCCTCTCTCTCTCTCTCTGTGACTATCATAAATTAAAAAAAAAAAAAAAAAAAAAAAGCATGCATTTTTCCCTATGTTCTGAAATCAGCCAGAGGAAGTCTACTGCAGTAGTCACGAAAAGAATGTATAGGGACGCCTGGGTAGCTCAGCGGTTGAGCACCTCCCTTTGGCCCAGGGCATGATCCTGGGGTCCCAGGATTGAGTCTCACATCGGGCTCCCTGCACAGAGTCTGCTTCTCTCTCTGCCTGTGTCTCTGCCTCTGTGTGTGTCTCTCATGAATAAATAAATAAAATCTTAAAAAAAAAAAAAAAAGGATGTACAGAATCTGACACCCTAAGTCCAAATTTGTCACTTTTTAGCTCTTTTTCTATGATGTCCATTTTAGTGTTGTGTTTTATTTTTATTTTTTGTAAACACTGAGTCTTTTAAAATTAAGAGTATAATTACTGCTAGATAATGGAAATTACATGGAATCTTATATTTTCTTGTTTTACCTTATTTTTTATAATGAATATTCACTTAGAGTAGAATTCAAAATGTTTCAGCAAAATTTCATCTGCAAAAAATCTCTTTTATTTGACACAGAATGGTAGAAATACTAGATAAAGAAAAAAAAAGACAAATTATATGTAATGTGTCAATTCCAGCTTAAAAAATATTTTTTTGTGTTTCTTACTACGTCCCCTGCATTTTCAAATTTGCAATGAGCATGAATTCTGTTTATAATGAGAATAAAGGTGCTTTTCTTCTATTTTTATTAACAATTTCTACAGAGTTCCCTTGTAACTAGAATGTAGAAGACAGAGAAAAACCCTGGTTCCTAAAATAATCATAAGAAAATATCAGAAACACTAAAACAATTTTGTTTTTCTTTAGAGTTACCGAAAAGCTATAGATCTATTTAAGTCTAAATGAACTAGTTTACAGAAGAGGGTGAAATCTTCCTATAGAAGCAGAAAGTGGGGACCATCTTCATCCCTGTGAGCACCTGCCAAATTAGGACACAGATACACACAGGACTGGGCTTGCCAAAGAAAAAAATCAACTAACATTTTAATGGCCAAGTCCAGGTAAATGGAATCTGAGAAGCCCAAGCATGGAGGCAGTCCTGCTCTTCATCAGCTAATTCCAACCCACATGTCTTTAGCTGAGTACAAGGTAGCACAGAAAGTTTTAGGAGATCCTGCAGTCTTGCCATACTTGTATCCAAAAACCTGCTGAGGTAGGAGGTTGCCCCTATCTTCAAGCCTGTAGTGATCTGACATTAATTAAAACATCAAATCATCACCCCTAACCAACTCAACTCCTAATCATGCGGAACAGATCAGCTCTTCAACTTAGCAACTAGAGAGAGAAAAGGGGAAGGCTTTCCACGGGAGAATATTATCTATATTACTCTCTAGTATTGTATTAGACACAATACCCAGCATCCAATTCAAACAAAAACAAAAACAAAAAACAATATGAAACATGCAAAGTAGTAGGAAAAATTGACCCTTAATGGAAAGATAAGTGAACAGAAGCAAACAAAATATGAAGCTAATACTGCAATTAACAGATAAAGACTTTAAAATGAAAATTGTAAAACTGAAAAATAGATAATCTGAAATGAATTCACTGAACTGGTTTAAAAGGGACCAAAAGTTAGACCCACTTATATCACTTGATTTTTCAACAAAGGAGCCAAGGTAAGTCAATGGAGAAAGAAAGGGCTCTTCAACAAGTGGTCCCAAGACAACTAGACAAATGTCTAGAGGAATGGAAGGAAGAGCAGAAAAGTAAATATGCAGGTCAATACAAAAAGTTACTTGTTAATCCATTAAAAATTAAAAACAAAACAAAACAAAACAAAAAAAAAACACCTCTCAGAGTCTAAGGCAAAAATAAGATACTGTGGGGTTTACAGACACGTGTAGGTAAGACAAATGACAAGGGCAGCACAGACAACAGGTAGGGGATGAAGCTGGTGTTAGCTGTGCATGAAGCTGTAAAATATTACAACTTAATAATGTAAGCAGAAGGCAACAAACCTGGAACATACCTTGTAATAACGAGATCACCCACCGAGAGAAAACTACTAAGTGGTACTGTTGAAAAGTCAGGAGAGTGAACAAAATGGATCAAATACAAATATATTTGATTAATCTGAAGGAATTCCAGAAAATTAGGAACAGAGGAACAAAAATTAGATGGGACAAACAGAAGAGAAACAGTAAAATAGTAACCCAAACCCAATGATATCAATAATGACATTACATAAAAATAGACAAAATATTCCAATTAAAAGACAGAGATTGATAAAGACATGCATGATAAAGACATGCAATGCTGTCTACAAGGGACACACTTTCCATATAAAGCTACAGATAGCAAAAATAAAAGGATGAGAACTCTACCACACAACCATTGAAATAAGTAAGATGGTGATGTGAACAGGAGACACACTTTATACCATCAGAAGGACATAAGTATTCTGAGTGTGTGCCAGCTAATGACAGACTCAAAATAAATGAAGCCAAAGCTGATAGGGCCAACACCAGAGCTGGAGACATTAACACTGCTCTCCATTACAGACGGGGAAAGTAGAAAAAAATGAGATTAGAAGATCTAAAACCTCTTTTCAACATGCCCTAAATGATGTAGAGAACCCTGTAAACACAGAACATTCTTTTTGATCTTACATGGGACTCTTCTCAACACAAATAAGCCATGCTATGGCATAAAATGATTTTTAGAGTTTTAGTAAATCGCCAGACTGAAATCATGCATAGTATATTTTGGAGCATAATAGAATTCAGTTAGAAATCAATAAAGGATCTAGAAAATCCCTACAATTCTAAAAAACCAGAGTTTAAAATTTAAAATTTAATTCTAAATTGTGGTCCTACATCAGAACTTTGCCATGGCACTGAGAGAGGAATGGATAGCAGGTAGAAGACTGGTAGTTAAACCAACTTTTAGCATCTCATGAATCAAATATGCACACTGTCATTACAGGAAATAATTTACATGTATTCTTTCAAAAAAGTAACATTTCCCCACTGAAACAGAGTAAGAAATATGTTAGGTTCAAAGCAAGCCCCAGAACACTGAATCCATTTTAGTTGATTCCATTTAGTTTCCCCTTCTCAATTTTGACCCTTTAGCATAACCACTGATTATCTCAACCTTATTGCTCCTCCCCTGCATCACAGCTCTATGATGAAACAGGGATTTATGCACTAACTGGAATCCTTGTGGCCTTCTGTGACTCGCTTCTTTCACTTAATATAATGCTTTCAGGGTTCATCTATGTTGTACCATGTATCAGTACGTCGTTCTTTTATCTGGTTAAATAATATTTTGACATAGAAATATACTTCATTTGTCCATTCATCATTTGATGCACAACTGGGTTCCTTTTACTTTTGGACTAGAATGGGTAATACTTCAGTGAACATTTGTGTACAAGTTCAGTGTGAACATATTTTCAATTTTCATGGTATATAGCTAGGAGTGAAACTGCTAGGTCACACAGTTATTCTATATTTATCTTTTTAAAGAACAGCAAACTTTTCCAAAGCAACCCAACCATTTTGCATTCCCGACAGCAACAAATGAAACTCCAAGTTGTCCACATCCTCACCAATACCTGCCACTGTCCTTTTCTGATCATAGCCATTGTTGTGGGTATGAAGTGGTATGGCACTGTGGTTTTGATTTGCATTTCCCTGATAGCTAATGATGTTGAGTATCTTTTTCTGGCATTCACTTTTGAATGTCACAATGGCAGTGGTCCAAAAAGGAACATGGCTGGTTCAGGAATACTGATCTATGCGATACAGGTGTGTTAGGAAGATATATCTGGAAAGTCAAATATCATCTGCAGTTAGGACATCTACATTAATATGTACATGTTATTTCCAATGATCATTAGATTATTTGCATTTCTTGGTTATCTACTACTCTGAACAGTTACAAGTATGATAAGCTACAGCAGAAGTTTATCTGGAAGTCTAATAGCAGAAAGATTTAAACAACAGAATTATTGTAAAAGCCGGTGCCCAGCCCCCCCAGTCCTGTCAATGTTAATTCATTTAAGAATAACTTAGAATATCATACTTATAGAATGTTCTAGTATAAACTGTGTAGGAAAGCTGATGGTGTAATGACAGGCTGTGATATTAAAATATCCAATCCTTAAGATTACAGACAGGTGGTACAGAGCAAACCAGACAATTAGAATGATACCACAGCTACTTCCCTGGTAACCTAATTAGTTCTGGCAGATTATACATTTTATTACATAGTAACTGTTTGAAAGCTTTGACATGCTGCTAAAAACTTTTTCTCCACTGTGTCTGGAGCCCATAGCTAAAAATTAGAAATTAATTGAATTAGGTCAGGTACAAGGTATTTTGTGTAAACAATTTCCTACCCTTGAGAACTCACTCTTAAGTTAAAAGAGCACTGAAAATCTGATCCCCATCTCCCACCTCAGTATTCCTCAGAAAATCTGTTACTGGGCTCATTATGGTTTTTCATCACAAAGACATTTATTCATCGGGTAACTAAAACTTTGAACAGAAGCACAGAATACTTAAACAGAAAAGTACTGGAGTGCTCTCAAATTTTCATATAATCTAATGAGAGAAAACTGTAACAATTATTCTGCAGAGTAGCATGTGTTACTTTTTCATTGACAACAGGGCCCTCCCTTAGATGGTTCAAATATAATTACATCAATATAGAAGGTTCTTTTGTAATATATGTCCCAACTTCTCTACATTAAAGAGTCACAGGTAATTCTTGGGGGTCTCAAACTGGGCATAAATGTGTATCTCATTATTGTGGAATTTGGAAAGATAGGTTTTACCTGTATCCATACTTTGGTTCAACTGTTGATCACTTGTTTCTCCATCCTCACTGATATATCCAGGAGGGGGCGTTTCTACAAAAGTTTAGAACAAATCAAGCAGAGTTGCAAATGAATCAATAGCACCACCTTTTTCCTAGCTATCAAAGATAACCAAAGAATCAATATGAATAATAAATATGCATATTATATAGCATTATTATAAAATGCAATTATTTGGTTCTGAGGGCTTAGGATTCAGGTTCTGATCCAAATCTTACAGGTGAATCTATAAAGCCTACTTGTAATATAATCAAGCTCTCTAGGCATATTTTCTTAGCTAGTATTTACATATCTGGCTCATTCCCATATGTATATTTTCTGGGGCAAGAGCCAAAAATAGAACTTCCAAGATGCCTCAGTTCTGAATCAGTATGCTTCAAAGGAATTAGTACCTACATTTTTTTTTTTTAAACTAATGGCCATCATGGATGCATACACCTAGGAGATGACTGAAGGACACACAACATTCATGAGATTTCGGGTCACAAAGTAATATGGGCTTACATTGGGTTCTCAGGGCAAAATACAGTAATATATTTCAGGACAAGTCTAGCTTGAATTCCTCCTAAAAAGTATATTTCTCCAGGGATTTCTAACCAGTAAATCCTGAGTGTTTGAAGCAGAAATTTAAATTCAAACACAAACTACTGCACAAACCTGAGGCAAAATACTCCCTGAAAAGAAGATTCTAGTGTGCCACTTCCAACGTGCTTAATGAATAAAATGTTTATATTCAGGAGGCGTCTGAATAGTTGAATGAACTTCATGTAAAATAAATACATGTGTATATAATTTTACCAATTATAATTTCAAGGAAGAAAAATAAGTTTAAGTGATTATCAACAGCTTAACATTTACATGGCTAGGCGAGTTGTAAGAAAATTTCCCCGAACTCTACCAACACCCCCCCGCGCGGGCTGCCCATCGTGAGCGCGTATCACCAATCCACCCCAAATCCTACACAAATGTTCACGCCAATCCAACCCCATAAGCACCTCTGCCCAAAACCGTCTCTGGACGGACAATCCAACTGAGACCGAACCCCCACAAACCTTCAGTCAAATCACAGCCACATCAATAAACTACCAACAACAGCTCCCCCACCCCCGCACCCCCCCCCTCCTCATCCACCGCCACCCACATCCAGATCACAACCCGTAAACGGCTCACCCCCTCCTACCCCCCTTATACACTTAAAATGTTTCCTAAACCCCCCCCCATGACACCCCCACACACCCCCTGACGCCCACCATCCAATAACCCCAAAGCAAACAACATCACCATAAAAAAAAAAACAAAAAAAACAAAAATGACAACCCACACCACAAACACCCACCAACACACGCCCCCAACACCCCCACCACCCTCCAACCTCCAAACTTCGCCCCACACCCCAAACAAATCCCTATCCCCCACCCTATACGATAATAAAAACTCAAAATAAAACCGATACCAAATCTTCAAAACTTTAGTTTTCCCCCCTACCCTCCCCCAATTTTACCCGACCCCTACCCCACTATATAGCCCCCCTAAAAGCAAACCCCCCAGAATACCCCACCACCCACCACACCCCCCCTGCCCTTCCCTTCCCCACCCACCCCCCTCACACCCCCCTACCCCTCCCAACCCTCCCCAAACCCACCCGCAACCCCCACCACCCAGTGTCCGGGAGTCTTACCCAGCCAATCTAACAACCACCACTAGGAAACAGCGTTAAGAGAAGCCCAACCCCACAAACCCCCAACCCCACGTGCCAACCAAAAATCCCCCCCCACCCCCACCCCTCCCCCCCCACAAGCTAAATCCATGTACCCCCCCCTACAACTCCCCCTGCCAGTAGCCTGGTCCAGTCCATGCCCACTCCCGCAAGACCACACACACCCACATCACCCCTTAAGCCCTATTCACCACGCATAACCTCATACTCCTCGCTGCCATCACAACACGTATAGCAATCCAGACACCAAACCATATGCCGTCAACCCCCCAAACCACATATGAATTCTACCCCACCCACTAATGCCCCCCATCCCCAACCCCCCCCCCTTTCCCACTCAAACACACCAAACCCCCATCTCACAAAAAAACCCCCTCCAAAAAAAATAATAGGTTTAAAAATTATCTTCAATGAACAAGCACTATTTCCATGAGACACATTGATCTTTTTTAAATGTACCTGAAACTAAGTTCCTTACAGCAAGTAAGAGTGGAATGGAGAAATATTACAATAGAAGAAAAAAACTGAGACACTAAACTATCCAATGTATACCTTAATCCTCATCCTATTATACCTTTAGTTTCTGCTAGGAAAAAAAACAAAAAACAAAAAAGGAAAACACAAAGAAAGTAAGAAAATGTTAGCTGTTCTTCTAAAAAAAAAAAATAGTGAAAACTAAAACTGCCTCATGGCATACTACTAGATCACATAAAATAGTAATTAGAGTGGGATTTGAGAACCATGTGGTTAAATTCATCTATTTTTCAGCAGAGGTTACTGAAGCCCAGATGAAAAAGAACTAAATTAGAGGATTTATGATTTTCAGTACAGCAGTGCTGCTGTATCTTAGAAATCAAATATTCCATCTCCTACAGAAATGTTCCATTTCTCTTGACCATTATCAAACTATCTATGAAAATGATTATTTGGTCGATTTTTAGTGATACTTGTTCCAGGAACATGGCTTTCATGTTCAACTTATTTTGCTTACATTCTGCATCTCTCTTAGCTTCAACAACTAAGACAAACTTACTAAGATCTTTGCTTTTCTGCTTCTCACAGTATTTCGATTAAAGCCACTGCAAAAGAAAATGAAATATAAAGTATAACTTCTCCAGGCCTATCTGTTTCAGATATGAGGCTTACACAGCTCACAACATCATCAACCAACAAAGTAGATTTTTCTATTCAAGATCCAGAAACATTTTTTTTAAAAGTCAAACCACAATTTATGAATACTTGAAAGTTTATGAATAAAATTTGTATCCATCCCAATTTTTAGGAGACTTGGGAAGGCAAAAATACCTGGAATGTAATTACTCTGTGGCTCGATTCCCGCTGGGAAATTAGTGTTTTCTGGAATGGAGTGGGTATAATCATCCAGAGGAGGCAGTTCTGTTAGGATCTCAGTGTGCCGTGGCACTAATACCGGAGGCAAAACTAAAAGAATAAAAGGGATCCAAGTTAACAGCAAAGAACAAAGGATGGGCACCGGGGGAGAGGGGGCCACACCAGACCTTTACTGAAAAATTTCACACACATTTTAAAAAAAAGAAGAAAGTGGCCTGCTTAATTTTTTAAAATTTAGGGTTTACCGACTTGGCATTATACCAGTTACTGAGAAATTGACAAATCTGATTTAACTCGCCATGTAGTCCAGCATCTAAATTTCCAAGTTCCCATTTATCCTGTACTTTGAGGAGCAAGGTCATTCTGGGAGGTGTGGATAGACCCTCCTTCACAGGAAGTCAGATTTAGGACATTTCTAAAAATATAGCTGTGTGCTCTTTAAAAGTTTCAAGTACACAGCTAACTAAACTAAAAGTCTTGCCATGAGCTTCACTCATTTGCTTTCATGCAAACAATGACATTAAAATACTTCAAAAAGAGGCTCAAAGAACAAAACAAGTGAATGCAGCTTGGGCAGCACATAGGTAAAGCAGTCCATCGGTTTAGTTCCGAGCAGACTGTGAATCTAGGGATTAGAACTTCCTAGATATGTAACTCTGAGGTCAAATGGTGTTTTCTCCCAAGAAACGGACATACCTGACCTAAGGTTGAATGAACCTAAGGTTCATTTTTCATAATTAAAACATTTAAAAAGTACTTTAAACTACTAGTGAATAAGACACTGAATTTCAGGTAATTTATTAGAATTTTACACCAAAGTTTCCCAGGGGCAATTACATATGAGCATCTAATATACTTAAGTTTAAGCATTTAATTTAAAACAAGGGAAAAGCCCCAATTTTTCTACCTGGTGTCTCAACTCTCTGGTAGTGGTAAGGGTTTACACATACTTCATCCTTTTTAAGATTAAAAGCATATTCGCAGTTTTCAATTGCTTTGAGTTCATGGTGACTGTGAAGGTCAGGCCAGCGCCACAATCGGCAATATATCACGTGTGGTAGTCCTTTCCGATGAGACACTTGCAGACGGCCATCCAGAGACCTGTTGAGAAGCAAGGGGAAAGAAAGGTGGGAGGTTTAGAAACAAAGTAGATGCAGTTGATTGGGCTACATTAATACAATAAGAGCATAAAGAAAGGAATGACAGACATTTAGTTAGTTTTAGTGAGTACAAAGGAAGAAAAATGTACTATTTGATGGGTCTGCTACAAAAGTAAGCAGCACTAGCAGGTTTCTCATAAATATGCTACATACATGACTCGAATGTCAATGAATGGCTAACCACTTGGGAAGAAATTGATTTTTTAAAAAAGGACCATATAGCATACTTGAAAAACTTTTTGTCAATTTCTATTCTTGAGTAAATCAAACTTTATCTAGGGATGCTTTAAAGGGCATTAATACTCTAGGTGACTGAATTATCAAAAAAAGGAACTAGTGTGAAGAATGGTGAGTACCAACAATGATGTAAAGTAACTTACTCAAACTAATGTAGCTCACTACCCAGTTGTGATTGTTTTGAGTACCAAGGTGTAGTTCTAGAGCTCACACAGTAATGCAGATGGTGATGAATACAATGAGATGAAATGGACAATACCAGTATGTTCCAAAAGAGAATAAGGTGATTTTTAAAATAAAAGAGAACATAAAATGAATTAGCCTAGCATTAACTGTGATAAAAGGGGTTTGGTAAATAACTATGCATTTATTAGTATAAAGAAGATGAGATTTAGATGATAGCAAGAAATTTAGCAAAAACTGGTTATAGCTCTACTTGAAAATTAGGCCAACAACAGATTATAATCTAATCTCAAACTCAAATGAGAATATAGTTATCAAAGTTCCTATTCTTCAGGGGATGCAGTAATTTAAAGAAGATTCAAAGCTAGAATTTCATTGATCAAAACATCAGCTGACACATTTCATATATCGTTAATACTGGCAGGCAGGTATTTTAAATGCATGCCTTATTTACATTAAGGAAACATCCTAGGCAACCCGTTAACAGGTCTTCCAAAACAGCCCCCCGCCCCAAGATGGCTAGGATTCCATAGAGGGCAGAATATTCACCTGGTTTGTTCAGAGAAGCTGTAAAGGCCTGTTGTATCCCACTGATCTATCGTATTTGGTGTACTCAGTCCCCAAATTTCAGAGCAAGTGCTGTGCATAAATTGAAAAACAAAAAATTGATGTGAACATGGAAGCATGGTTATTCAAAATACCATGATGTAAAACATGGAAAATGTACAGAATACTTCCTTCACCCAGAAAATATATATATTGCTTCACTTTTTCACGGGCTTTTAGTGCTGGTTTCTATATTTTCCATATGAAGGAAGCCAATAAAATGGAACATGTGACTCCAGATAAGTTATGATTATGTTTTAAAAATGTGAACACCAATGCTCTCTAGCTTCATGAAATCATATTTATAATGCCCCTTCCAATTTCCTCTACTCACAACAAAAGACTAATACCTATGCCATTAGCCTTACTAAGACTGCTTCATTTTATAATCTAGTTTTTAAAAAAAACTTATCTAAAAATGGATGTCAACTGGTCTTTTTAATACAGGAAAATTTTCACTTAAATTAGATACATATCCACAGTTAAGATTTTCACACTATTTGTCTGAGAAACTTACATATTCAGTTTTATTAAAGTTATTATTGCTCTCCTATTACTACACAGGAGAAGGAAGTGCATTCTGAAGTCATTCAAACATAACATATCACCTTAAAAGCTTTAAGAAATTGCTGCGAGGACAAAAGATATGTGAAAGCACCAAATTCTTAAAAGACAGTATGAATATGAAAAATCTGCTACATCTAGTTTTCAAAAATCAATACATCTGAAGGAAACAGACCAGGAAGACCTCAAACTTTTTCTTCTACATTTCTTTCCAGAACATGGACAGCCTAGAGATAATTCTCCCTATTTCCTTGCCATGACTTTATTTCACAGTAACTTCTCATCGGTAGGCAAACTTTTGCCTGTCAATGCGTCTCAGGTCACAAGCTGTGCCTTTACAATCAGAGTCAAAAGGTAATTCTGACAACAAATTCAAACTCCATTTCTCACATATTCCAAAACCATCAAAATTTCAAAGAGGAGGAAGAACCGTTTCAAAACAATTTTTTAAAATAAAATCAAGCAACTGATTAAACTCCAGATGTATATATTACTAATGAGCTAACTTAATCAACATCTCAAAGGGTACTGGTGACAAGTGCTATCTTCCTGTGGCCTGGCAACACACCTAGAAGGGGCTAGTGGGCCTCTTGCAGAGGCACCTGGCTGCAGACATAACTCCCCATGTCATGCCCTGGGGGCTACAGCAACTATACTTGGTGGTTTTTACAAATGCATTTTCAGACACTATCCAGTACCTTTTTTTTTTTTAATTTTTTTTTTATTTATTTATGATAGTCACAGAGAGAGAGAGAGAGAGAGAGAGAGAGAGAGAGAGAGAGAGGCAGAGATATAGGCAGAGGGAGAAGCAGGCTCCATGCACCGGGAGCCCGACGTGGGATTCGATCCCGGGTCTCCAGGATCACGCCCTGGGCCAAAGGCAGGCGCCAAACCACTGCGCCACCCAGGGATCCCTATCCAGTACCCTTTTAAGGTATTTTACAGTCTTGCTTTTTAGGCTGTAGAAATCTTTCATTTCCTAAACAACCCAAGACAGAAACAGTCAGGAAACTGGAGGATAATTTAAATCTCTTTTCTCCAAAGATATACTAAAACACCCATGACATACATGGTTCTTTTAAAGATATTTATCAAATATCTACCAAAAACACAGAGCACCAAGTAGTTTAAATTGTGATAAAATCAACTACATTCTGGAATGTGATGAATCCGCAGCATTGAAACCTCAGAAATAAAAGTATACAGCTTACTCTTCATCTTGTAAAAATAATTAACAAAATATTAGATCAAGAGGCTATTCTGCTATTATGAGAGCTTAATGAAGATTTCACTCAATTAATTCTGACATGGACACAGAACCAGAATCTAAAAGAGAGCACAAAGAGCTTAAGTTGGGCTTGAATCAAGCCTTGAAATAAATCAGAAAACAGTAAACAGTTGTTGTTCAGAACATGCAATCAATCTAGAGGCAAGTGGACCTAGATCCCCACCCTAACTCAGCCACTTTCCAACTTCCATCACAGGCTATGTTTAAGCAGGAGTCCTACTGTTTACTGTAACATCACTCTCCAAAATTAGAAGGTTTACTTAGGAATATTAAATTTGCTTCTAATTAGTAAAATTTTTGCCTGTTTATATTAGAAAAAATATTTATTTTAAGGAATCAATTTATAATAAAATACACAAAGCACCTGGAATAAATGTAAGGATAAATGTGTCAAAACTATAAAAAGAAACATTTTAATTGTTACTAAAGAATATAAAAGCAGGGATCCCTGGGTGGCGCAGTGGTTTGGCGCCTGCCTTTGGCCCAGGGCGCGATCCTGGAGACCCGGGATCGAATCCCACGTCAGGCTCCCAGTGGATGGAGCCTGCTTCTCCCTCTGCCTGTGTCTCTGCCTCTCTCTCTCTCTCTCTCTCTCTGTGACTATCATAAATAAATAAAGAAAAAAATATTTAAAAAAAAAAAAGAATATAAAAGCAAAGTCAGCACAGAGAAAAGTATCTATCTTCCTATTCAGGAAGACATCATAGTGACATGAATTCTGCCAAAGTTATGCTTTTGATTCAACCTCAATAAAAATTTCAGACAAAATTACTCCAAGTATAACATACCAAAATAAATAAGAACGACCAGGAAAACTTGAACAAAGAGGAGAGAACGGCTCTATCAAATTCTGAAATGCATTATAAATTCTCAATAGAAACAGTTTGCAAAAAAAAAAAAAAAAAGAAAGAGAAAAAGAAACAGTTTGCAATTAGCAAGAGGACACAAACAGAAGTCCTGTAGAGTACCCTCAATTATGCAAACATTCCTTCAGATAAAAATGACAGCCTCTGAACAAGATATAAAATCAATTATTTGAGAACAATGGAGAGAGACCAACAGGACAAAAATCAAAAGGAATACAACCACTGTAAGGGAGGAACTAGACTAGATGAGCCACAGTTAGGTGGCTTTGTATCTAAGGACAGCCCACAGTCTAAGCTAGGCAGGACACCTAGACCTGAAGCAGAAAATTGCAGTTTTACTGACTGGCACAATCAGAGAATGGATATGGGGCTGGCAGAGGGGCTGGAAAAAGAAAGGGGAAGATCTTGTAAAGAAGGAGCCACGAGGGGGAAAAATCACTCAAAATACGAGTGAGAACTCTGCTCAAATCATGACCTCCCAATGATATATGTGGGAGAGACTACACAACCTGCTGAAAATGAGCATTTGGAAGTCTAAAAGAACAAAGTCCTGAAATCTCAGCTGTTGTTTATATCAGAGGCAAGCAATTTGGACTTTGAGGCTGACCAAAAGTATCTGCTAGAACAAAAATCAACTCTAGAGGAAGGTAACAAAATTTAAACTCTTAAAAAAGCACAAATTACTAAACCTATGAAAAAATAGGAAAATGTTACCCCCTAGTCAACAGAAAGAATAGCCAGTAGAAACAGATCCCCAAAATGAACTGACAAGGATTTTAAAGTAACTACTGTGAATATGTTGATGGACTTAATGAACAGATGGGAATCTCAGCTGATTAAACTATAAAAATCAATCAAATGGAAATTCTAGAACTGAAAATTATAAAATCAGAAATAAAAAATTAACCTGATGGTTGGAGAAGACAGAGGAGTCCATTTGAATATGAGTCAAGAGAAATTTGTAAGCAGAAGAAGGAAAAATGAAAAAGAACAGTCTCAATAACATATGCAATCTGACAAGCAGCAAGAACCAACCAGAAGAAATATTTGAAATAGTAATGGCTGAAACATTTTCAACTTCAGTTGAAACTAAATTTATACTTCTAAGAAACTCATTTAATACCAAGCAGTTTAAAAACACAGAAAATCACACTTGGGCACATCATTTACAAAATACGAAAAACAAAAGATGAAAAGAAAATCTTCAAAGTGGTGAGAACTACAAAAACTCTTGGCACAAAGGACTCCATCTAAACCCCTGCACTAAGAGACATGATCAAGCTCTAGCATGGCTTCTAGGAGCCTAAGGCCAAGAGTCCCTGGTAGGACCCAGACTCTTTTGAGTTCCTGTCTGGAAAAGATCAAGGCGGCCAAAAGAATTTTCCATTTGTTCCTGCCAATACTTTTCTGTAGATCCTTGACCTCCTTTACTTATAAATCCTTCCCCAGTCTGAGATGTACCATGTGTCTCCTACAACTCAGGAGTCTTTCTCAAGGACTTGAAATCCATTCCTTTGAAATGTAATTGGTCATCAGAAAGGACAGAATCTCCCAGATTACACCCTCAGAGGGATGGTCTAAAAGCCTAACCTCAAGAAATAGCATTTAGTAGCCACAGATGGCTCAAACATATTGATACTGACTAACCCTCTTACCCATTTTTTGGGCAATTTTCACTTCCTTGACTCTCTGCAAGCCTCTACTCATTCTCCCAGCTCCACTCCTACATTCTCCCAGTCAACTTTGTGCAAACGGAAATTGAGCTCAGTTCTACCCCCGTGATTATTTAATACAGTCTGTTTTTACCACCTTTAAACAATGCCTGGCTTTAACTTTAACAGTAGTCAGAGTAGAACAACCCATGTATGTACAGGCATGAGGAACACATGAGTAACAATTTCTCTTCACAAACAATAGAAGCCAGAAGACAACAGAACATCTTTTTTTTTTTTTAATTTTATTTTATGATAGTCACAGAGAGAGAGAGAGAGAGAGAGAGAGAGGGGGGAGGGGCAGAGACACAGGCAGAGGGAGAAGCAGGCTCCATGCACCGGGAGCCCGATATGGGATTCGATCCTGGGTCTCCAGGATCGCGCCCTGGGCCAAAGGCAGGCGCCAAACCGCTGCGCCACCCAGGGATCCCGACAACAGAACATCTTTAAAGAGCTGACAGGAAAAAAGCCAAACTCAACCTAAAATCTACATCCAACAAAAATATCCTTCATCTAAGAAGTCAAAACAAAAACATGTTCAGGTAAACAAAAATTGAGAATTCATTTGTAGCAGACTTTGCTCAAAGAAAAGCTAAAGGAAAG